TTATCTTGTATAAGATTGGAGAAACCTGTTGATGCGCTTCGCCGTTTACACTAAATAATGTCTCAAGTCCCAAATAAAACACGAGGCGGCCTTTGTGCGGCACATTTACTTGATATGCAAATGAGCATATTTGTCCACATTTTGTTTTGCTTATCATCTGTAAAGTGGTCAAATAGAAGTCGTGACTCGTTGCTTGCCGTGTCCTTTGTCCTCTTCATTCGAAAGCCAGTTAGTGTCAGCTGTGCGGCAGGAGCACGCCTATTTGTAAGATTTACCATTATCTTGTATAAGATTGGAGAAACCTGTTGATGCGCTTCGCCGTTTACACTAAATCACACAACTGTTGGGGAATTTACATTGTTGAATCTATTAGGTGACCCTGTTCTGTACAAGAGAAACATGTCAAACTGAAAGAAAAACTCTATCACACATCTGGGCTTAGCGGAAGCTATCGGTATCGTTCCCGGGTGGAAGTGTAGCCTAATCGCCTTTAGATCATATATCCACGTGTCCCTGTGAAGTTCAAGTATGTCAAGTTACCCAGAGGATGCTGTTATCGCTTGAATGTTCAGAAACAACACTCTGGGTCTCTTAAACTGTGGTGAATGTGATGAACTTTGACATTTTGTCCATACGTGATCCACAGTTCAATGTACCACCCAACTTAACGTTATTATAAGCATGGTCCCCATGTTAATGGTTATTTGGTATTTGATAGCTATTGCTTATATCTAACATATTTTAAACGGTACTGGCCGCATTGCATCAACGGGTTTAACTGTCAAAAGTTCAACGAAAATAAACAGTTTAAGAAGCAAGCATCTTGCAAATCACACGCTTCCGGAAACGTGATGAGTGGTATACTTATTTAGGTCCGTCCGGTGTGCAGTGATCAGCCAGTTTGGGCGATATCAGTTCGTACACCAAATGACCTTAGCCAAAATCCAGGTGTAGTCAAGGTCACACACTACTGTCGAGCTCTAATATCAGCAAACCTCGGGATCAGTAGATCATAGTGGAATGGACTAACTGGAATTTGCGTATTCGGACAGAACAAACGTGGCTGCAAGTCTGATCTTAACCAGCTGAAGAAGAACACCATTACCAGAAAAGGCTGTAAACCGGGTTCGTTCACATAGTTGTTGTATTTAGATAAAGCTCAGATGGGAGACAAAACTTAGACCGTCTGTTCGAGACCATCACTTAGAGAGATAAAATTAAATCATTCTTCTGATCAGTCGGTTACGCCGTGCGATACGGACAAAACTGTTTGTTAATGTCTTCACGAAGATGGTTTGCCATCAAGATTTTAATCAAGTCCGCGTGATAACAGCAAATTTGCAGAGACGGTTCAAGTGGTTTAACGTGGTTAAACTTATGTTCCTGATGAACACGATAGAGAATGTGGTTCAGTATAACATACAGATGTAAAAAAACAAGTAAGCTGAAATGAGGCTACAGAGCTTCACTGACAGGATGTGCCAGCCATCGGCTGTGCGTCCCTAATGTATACGATACTAATTTCCATCAGTAGATAAGTTTCTGACCTTAAACAACATTAGTTAACAACTTTTTATGCGGACATGATTGACGTTGGTAATGTGTTAGAATTCACATGAGCCAGACTTGGTCGGTTCAAAACGGTCATCACGGTTGAACGTGGTATTGTGTCAGTTTCAATGAAAATCGGAACACCGTGGACTCGGATAGCGTTGTGGTCAAACTTTGGTTACGTAAGTCCGCACTTTCGTCCACCACTTCTGCCGAGTTTCTAAACACAACCTCCCTCAATCCATATTCATTAAATTGCAGTTTACGTTCTTTGGATAAACTTAAAACTCCGGTCAACTTAGGCCACTTCAACTGTCGTTACCTTGACTAGCGCCAAGTAAGATTTCACTTATTTTGCTGCAGTTTCACTAAAAGAGTCTATGTTTAGTCTTTTTTTCTCTCTCTCTTTCTCTTTAATCCCCAAGTTAGAATTCAGGACTCGGGTGACCAGGTTTCTTTTGAGTACTCGAACGCTTTCATACATTTGATATTTCTGAGTCATTTTTCGTAAAGGGTTTACTAAAGTTTGAGCTTGACTGAAAGCATGGTCACTTTTTTTGTTTAACACGATATGGAGCGAGGCTGTCAACTGAACGAAAACATATTTCGCCTAATTGACTTGTTAGGGGTATAACTAACCCCTAAAGACGAGTGACCTACGTCAAGTCCAGGACACCTATGCACCAAAAGTTAAAAGAATATGCCTAAAAACGTCTATTTCACTCAGAACACGCAAAATCACCATTCAGTTTAAAAAACTCACGATTCTACTGACTGATGGAGACTAATTCAAATTGACACAAACGAGTCTATCTACCTGTGGAACGTTATATTGGGGTTCTGTTCAGTTGTCCGGCGCATCCTGACCATTAATTTGGGCTTTAAATTGTACACTAAACTCGCAACGTACACACTGTTTCTGTTTACATGAATAGTCACGTTTCTCCACTGAACATCATTACTATGAGTATACGGACTGGTCCCAATAAGGAAATCTACTTGGTGTTGGCAAGGGATTCGGTTAAAACACACTTGGCGTTCTCATCTATGGTATTTTTGAATGCTATGAAAATCCCATCTGATGTTTCTGTTGAGACGATGTCTGAAGTATTGGCGCGTTTCAATACTAGTGTTATAAGGTCAATGAAAACTCTGGACGAGGCAGGCAGGTGAATTAGAGCTGGGTGCTCGTTAACACTAACTTAAATTGTAAACGAGGATTTATCATATAATGCGCGCAGTTCGCTTTCTAAATACAAAATAAACTTTATGAAACTTCAGGACTTATACCTAACCGGTGAACCCCAAAAGAGCACAACCGGAGAGAAGTTGTCCTGAGTTTCATCAACCTTATTGTCAGTGTTGAAAAGGTGATTGATTCGTATGGAGTGCATGTTGCTTAGTAGAGGTTTTGGTTGTTGGTTGCGGAAAATATTTTTTATGATTAATTTGTGTGACAAGAAACATGTATTCCTCTTTTTTCGACGGCTTTATGAGTAGACTTCAAGAACGGAGAATTCTCAGATGGGAGCACATCGGACATCCCGTTTAGGTATCATCCCTTGGAGACTATTAGGGCTTAGCAATCACTCCATCAGTCACTGGCTTACACAAGACAGAAAATGAGGCAAAAACCCAGATAGGGTTCGTATCCGAAGCTAGAGTACACTGAAAAAGCCGGGACATTTCCATACCCAGCGAAATAATCTGTATCACACTTGCTGAAATACACTCACAAACTAGTTTATCTAATTTAGCCTCAGCGGAAGCCTCAACTGAATCCAAACTCAATCTGTCGCTGACGATATTCTCAAGCTACCTGTGCTGCACAAAGGTTGTCCTGTGTTTCACCTTGCACAATATTCGAAATATCGTTGTACATTGTCTTGACAGAACACATTACTCATAAGATTGCTGAAAACCCTTCTGCAATATGATATACCAGTTTACGATTTTTTGGATTTCATCATGCGGACACAGTTCCCTAGTTCCTCTATAAACTTATCCTCTATTTGACCGCCAGTCGAACGCGGTTCACGACATACACTTTTGCAAACAACTTTGGTTTCAATTGGAGGCTCAGCTAAATCCAAATTGAGTCTTTCGTTTGTAATATTGCGCAGTTAAATATACCTCACAACTCAAAACTTATAGTTGATAAAAGCATGGGGGTCCGAGCTTGCATGATGAGTCTTAAGGAAGGCGAAACCGGCCGTTGGCTGTTACTTAATATCAAGCAACCCAGGAAAACAATCTGTATCAACTTCGTACGCAGTAAAATGGGGTGTTTCGCCGAGTTCCAATTCGGTTGTTATTTGCTGCATAAAACCTTTGTACGGTGCTGGCTGTGTATTGTCAGGTGAATGGTTCGGTTAGTTGTGCAGCCACCGCTACTTACAAAACACGAGTACTCTGCTCAGAAATTGAGTCAATCAACAAAGCTGCCGGGATATTTCATGAGAGATTGCCACCCTAACGGACAGGCAACACCGGATCATGTGCAATGAACTGTGCAGTCAGAAGATAAATAAAGTTCAGCTCCAAGTCACTCGTACTGCTGATCAGGTAACCCTAGTTGAACAGTTCTCGAATTTAGTATGGAAGATAGAAAATCTGGATCTCTGATGGGATCAGTGGTGCGAACCGCTGGTGTTTCCTGGCAAACATAGAAGAGAGATATAGCTCAACAGGCAAAGCTATCGACTCGAAAGCTTTTCGGTTGCTCCTGTATGGGTTTGGACAACCTGGAGGTATCCCATTCTTTATGCAGTTATGCGCCGAAAGTATGCTACAGCTGAATGTGAAAAAATGGTACTGTAATTGTTGGTAGTTGACACCATTCGTGAACGATCAACTATTATTTTCGTGGTCGATTTTATTATTCCTATTTTTAACTGTATTCGGATCGGAATTCGCAAAGGTTGTTGACAGTCGTTAATGTATGTGAATAGGATTGCTGAAGAATTCATTCTGTTCGGGGCTTCTGAATATGGCGTGATATGAAGTACGGACGGTTTTGAAATGTAATCGTGATTCAGCTGACCAAGTGTGATAACCGGCACAACATCCACGCGAGCTGCTTACATTTCGTTTGTGTCTTGAACTTAGATCAATTTGAGAGTTTTCACGTCTTCCAGTTATGCGGCTAGTGCATGCTATTTTTGCAGTCCATTGTGCGACCAAGCGTATGATGCCTCGGCAGAGATTCAGCGGAACTGTATGAAATTCCAACAAATGCTTGCTTTTGTGGCAAAACTACTGATCGGATTTTGCAAGTGCACTGAACATGTTTGCTGCAGGTCCATTGACAGCTGAAGATGGCAACAACGCACCCATTGGTCAAATCCTGTGGGTGACCTTCACCTGGTCTATCTAAACCATTTTTCGACCAATCAGCTGCAAGGCCGAGATGTGTCGTCTGACTGTTGAAGTGGCTACGCCATTTCAGAGGTGCACTAGCCCGGACGAACGGAAACTGATTTACGGCTAATGATTTATATACAGGTAGCATGGGTAAGACCGACAAACCACTTGACACCACGGAAACCGAAACGTCTGAGCAACCGTGCACAAGCGATGATTTACCTCGTGCAGCATGTTCGAAGACCACACACGCAACAAGCTCGAAGGATGCTCCAGTCGATTCCATAATGCTGACAGCTGATAGGCACCAAGGATGGCACACGGGTGAGTTGCTAATTAAGTCGTAGGTCACTTGACCGATGTCTTATGCAGAAGTACGCACTGTGTCTTGTCTGCACAGTTGGAGTGACCGTGATAGGTATTTTGCTAGTTCGCATAACTTTACTCCGGATAGACAATGCCGGTAAGCGGGAGATTTCGCAGCCAGAAGCGACCCTCATTGATATCAAATTTAATTCTGATGTAGCCTTCGCGAAATATGCTGTTTGCATTCACCTCCCGGCCTGAGCCAATTTTGCTTAACACAGCCCACCAATTGGATACTGAACTAACAAAGTCTTCTTTAAAACCCACTGCCGCTCCGAATGGAAGCAAATGTCTCTGCAATTACTACTCACTGTGATTCTTTTGCAACTTGGCGTTCTCATCCTGAACTATATATTCTGTGCCAATGCATTTATCATGTTGGTTGGTCTTGTGCCTTTCCCGCCAAAAAAATAGCGACTCTCGAGTTTACGTGGCTTGACGGCGGGAAATAGTAAAACATGACTAGGATCAAAATGATTTCCCGTGAACTAGATACTCCACCAGCCACGATATTAGATTTGACATTTGGCATTTCATTTCCCTCGAAGTTACTAGTCTTGCTTTATCTAAATGGAAAGCTGAAATAAACCTCCTGAGCTTTGAACCGGTGTTTTCAAAAAGACCCTTTATCATTATTTTAACTATTGTGTGGGAGTAAAGGGATTGGGGTTTTTCTGTTTTTGCGTGTGCATGGTGAGTGAGCGGGTTGATCAAACAAGTCGGAAGTCGCAATAGTGCACCAATTTAGTTAGATGCATAAGGTTGTGTGAATTGAGATTGGGGAGAGAGCTGCTACGGTCAGATACCCAATAACCAAACAATGCGACCTTTCATCTAGATTGATCAAAGACTTTATTGGACTCATTCAGTTTGATGATTTCTACGACTCCTATGGTCATTCGTTATGGTGCTGATCGTGATCCCCTCTTTGTTTTCCCGATTCCAAGTGTATTCCCCGCAACTACTACGCACCATCGCCGAGACCTTTAACATTTCCTGGCGCTCCCCTGATTCTTTGGCAGTCTTCTTTTCTGGCCTATCTAGCCAACTCGTCACTCTCCTCTGCGCTCAATGCTGGCTAACTAATATCACTAAATCAGTACATTCATATGACTGTTCCTGCCTGTCGAGACCTTATCGGAAACAGTTGTTTATAATACTGTCAGTTTCCACTACTTATATTACACGACATATACACGAATATATCCCAGCAGAACCCACCACCGTGAGAATTCCCGGAGCTGTTTTCCTTGTTCTTAATCGGTTGGTTAATTTGATACCGTTAGGTCGCAACAAGCCTTTCATCTTTAAAACCCATACAGTTGAATTGCAACTATTTCCTTTCTTGATAAAAATCAGTGAGTGAAACAAATGTCGTTCTGAAATTCTGTCTAGTCTGATGAACCGAACCGGTTGCACTGTGCGAAGCAGCAGAAGAAAATTGCAAGTGGTTTTCCTGGCTAGCAGTTCCTTTTACCGCACAGCGTGCATTCACCCACAGGCAGTTTATAAAGAGTGACAATCTTTTGATCTGATTAGTTAGACAGGAAAGTTGTTTCCTGATCGCTGAACCTCACTTGATAGGGGAGCCAAGATCAATGAGAAACATAACGTGAAATAAATCGAGAACAGATTTCCGCTTTGATTTGGCTGCATGATATTTTGCTCATTATTTGTTTGCTGCTTTTGTTAACTGAATTGGCTTTGGTTGGCTTCGGTTACCTAACTATCCCCAACCAACGGAAATCAGGATTCTGATGGTCCTGACTAGGGAGGCGGAATCGTCTAAAACAAATAATCTAACCATGCATTTGGTCATCGTGGTTGGCGGGGTTATGGTTATTCTTCCTTATTTCTCATGCGAACCACACCCAGCACGCAAAAACTGAGTACTGTACCAAACCGACATTGGAGGGGGACCTGAGCCGATGTAAGGAAACAGTCTCATTCACGATGGAACCATCGGCACTCAACACCCTCTGCTTACAGGAGTGATTGCTGGTGCTCCTTTACCACCAGCCATGGACAATGTCCCTTAGACATGGTTTTCCAAACACAGCCGGTGAACATCGTTCCACCGAGGCCAGATTTCTCACCTATAAAGTAAGGCGGTCTGTATGTAGCACAGTCACACATTCAAGGGGAGGGCGAATTCCACATTGCTACCCCCAGAGTTTCAGATTGGCAAAGACTCTGACTTTGGCGATACGTACGAAGATGTCTCTTCTTCACTATGTCCACCAGTGGTTACAGAACGTCCCAGGTGGATTAAAACTTCTGGCTACTGTTAGCCTGTCATATCCTAAGATTCATGCCTCTGTATATCCTGCAATACTACCTTGTTTAATGTGTCGTTCCATTTGGCTTTCAAATGATCCAAGACAGTTTGCATTACTTGAACAGTATTCGCGGTTGAGTTCGTTGTAAGCGGCACCGACGACTATAAATTTCAGTGCCACCCAGGTCATTTTCCATCAGTGAAAGAATAAGCTCGGGACTATTTCGCGAGTTCCTGGCTGGAGCGGCAGCCTCCATCTCAGTAAAACCTGGTAATCATTTTTCACTATCCTTTCGTCCACACGTGTTAGGTTGGCGCATCAAAGTATGACGTGCTACCTACTGCATACTACCTACTGATGATAGAAGGCAACGTACTTCTAAACATTAGAGGGAGTGTTGGAAGCCTAGTGATGATGGTGTTCTTAAGTATGTGTTCCAATAGCCGGTCAGTTGTGGCGCATGGCAGTGTTCCCAGTTTATTTCAGTTATTGTTCAAAATGTAGTAGTGAAACATTTTTTCACGTCGATTTGAGCCACAAGAAAGCAGGGATATTCATGCAAAAACGAACGCACAGTTAAATATTCTCTACGGAAAGTTCTCCCTCTGGATTTTCATGCGTAGACTGAAATAGTTGAGTAGGACTACCTTATCTGTCACTGATGGGAAGGCTTATGGAGTAAAAAGTGAATCAGGGTCTTGTCATTATCCTGTTTTGCGGCCTATTCCAATTATACCGTCTACAAGTCTACTTCTTATTCAGCGGCGAATCTGTTACGACCTGTTGTCCGCTTACTACCGATTCAGCAATTATCTCCAATTTTTCAGCCCTAACTGACTCGATGTGGCAATAGATTACCAAATGCTCAGCGAGGTCCATCGATCCGTCTCTCGTAACAGATTAAATACGTCGGTAATCCATGCGTATTTTGGAGGGCAGAAATCTAGGGTATGAAAACAAATATTGCCGTGAATAGAGGCTGTATTGTTGGATATTAGTTGGTTTCTTTTGGAAAGAGTGTATTGACACGCGTTTGTGACAAGCACATAAGTTGGCATGATACCAGGTGTGNAGCACATAAGTGGCATGATACCAGGTGTGTGTGTGGTTTCACGTGGCCGGTCACATCTAACTGATCAATGAGGAATCATGTGATTCCAAGGCAGTTTTTTGCATCAATATTGCTGCCGTGGTCAAACAAGGATAAGTTCAAATACAGAAAAGTCAGCATTCCAGGTCAACTCGTTGATCGCAAGTGTTTACTAACTTACCGGCCGATTTTATTGATCTGGATGTAATGTGATTTTCACTTGACTGTCCCCTCACAAATAAAGGAAGTGTATCCAAACATGTGTGGTTATATTCCTTGTATTACTTTGTCGTTGCCTGCAGTTGTCCCGTGTCTATGGCACCAGCCGATTTTTAAACCTGCAACGGACTAGACTTACCCGTAGCTCCATTGCCATTTAGATCCCCTGGGTTTCTAAATCAATTTTGCACTGAATAACAGGCACTCCGATATATGGATATTTACGGAGTAAGTGTACACTGTACACCTATTTTCATCCATCTGAAAGGCTCAACCTAACTTAATCTCTTGGTAGCCGTTACCCCTTAAAGATACTAATGAAAAATAGTCTGTTCTGAAGAGCAGTTCCTCCGCGATGGAACTTCCCTGTGGTAATGTTTCCAGTGGTTTCTAAGGTACCTGTTGACAGTTGGAGTATGGTAAACTTCATTGCACGGATTTTGAATCCGGATACTTTTGGAGGATGATTTTTTTGCCGCGGTGGTGGTTTCCATTGAGGCTTCATCCTGACATGGAGATTAGTCCATGCTGCGGAGCTGGGGGATGCTTTGTTTCATCCTTTTTGTCAACCAGAAGTGACACACTTTGTATTGATAATTTGAATTAGAGACTCTATAGTTAACGCTCAACTAGGTGTGGCTGATCAACACCCAAACAGTATCTAGCCGCATCATCTTTCAATCACTGATCTGACTTCAGATGATCTAGTGCTACTAGGCTTTGTGAGTACAAGCTTATCAGATGAGTAGTCTACATAAATCGCTGGTGCATGGCGTCCAAAAGATTTTACAGGTGTGCTTTGATAATGATCGTAACCAGGTGCGTTACTCAGTGTTCATCGGATTTCCAACGTTTCAGGTTTTCCGACTGACCCTTCTTATAAGATAAAATCCCTGGTAAAGCTTCAAAATTTCCTCACCACATCGGCAGTGCTCTTTGTGTGAAGTAGCTGTTGATCTTTTAAAATCTATCAGCTCCAAACCAGAATGCAAGGTGGTTACGTAAAACATTAATAACATTGGTTCGGTTGCAACACCTTTTCGGGGTCTAGTTGCTATGCCACCCGAAGGGGTTATTAGGACTCAGATACTACCACATCGCCTAAGCCTAAAAAGAGAAGTCGAAATGCGGAAGTTGGGTTCGGACCACAGATTTTTCTGTCAGGAAGCTTGCGCTTCAATCACTGAGCAACCTCGAGCTTGCTGAGTGAAGTAGCCCTAGATGCGCGCGCCATATCGTGCGGGGAACTTATTGCTGCGCCTTGTATAGGCCATACAAATATAAAAGTTGGGTAAAAATGAGAAGACAGAGGCATGCACGAGACCTCCAGATTTTGTCGAAATGCATCCACCGTTTCTTTTCTAGGCCCT